TTCCACTATTCGCAAAAGATTTACACGCCAGCTGCGCGGCCACCCCCTCAGCGGTGGTCCAAGCATGCAAGGTTCCGAAGGCAGATGTAGCGGGGAGTGGCGGGCACGCATCAGTTTCCTAGGGTGGCCCATCCAGTAGTGCGGCGTAGGCGCAGGAAGATGGACAGTGTCGCCCCCATCGGTACACTCCCGTATGTTTCTCCTACCCGCCTCGTTTTCCCGAGGGTTGGGCTCGGAGGGCTCCGATCATACCAGCGTGGGGCATCGAGGATTACAGGAAGGGCACCCACGTGTCCACCCAACGTTGCAGCAGGCCCCCGAGGTATCCCGACCCAGTGCTGCCCCGATCCTGCCTTCGCCTTCGGAGCCCCCTGCAGTGCGAGGGCCCCGCCGCCCCGCGCGCGCCGCCGGCTCGTCCGAGGACCTGTGGTCTGCCTCCGCCAGCGCCCGCCAGGCGGCGTGCGCTGGCGCGGGCCAGCCGCCGGGGCACGCCGGCCAGAGGCCCTCGGCCACCGAGCGCGGTCCGCTCCTCGCAGAGTGCCTGCTCGCGAACGCTTGATTCTGAAGGGCACAAGCTCGAGGAGAAACGGAGCGCCATAAGCGTAGACTCTCGGCGCTCCGAGCAGATTTCCTGGATCCGTTCTGCGCCCCCCAACCCCAGCGGCGCCTCTGGTGCCGCCCCTGGCGCGCGGAGCGCGCCAGGGAGTGGGGTCCGGCACGGATCCAAGAAATCCGCGCGGAGCGCCAAAAGCTTATGTTTACGGAGTTTTGTTCTTCTTCTTCTACAAGTTTCCATCGACGCGATGGATCGTGAATACCCCTGCGGCGGATCCAGGCCCTCTGCGAGCAGTTCCTCTGCGAGTCGTGGAATGCGCTGTACACTCGGGGGCAACGGTAGGTGGGATAGGCTTAAGTCGGGCCTGGCCTTCTACAGGAGGAATATTCAGAAGTAGTTTTAAAAATAGTCTGGGGACGATTGTTTGAGTATTTTTGTTCTTAATCATTGTTCGCGTATTTGCGTGACTTTTGTTTTTATTTTTCGTCCAAAACCCCCTTGTAGGGAGACACGCCCGACCTGAGGATAGGCTCAGGTTCGGGGGTGGGTGCGTCGACCCCGGAGCGCAGGCCCACCCAGCCCAGGAGCGCGTCGATCCGCCACCCGGGGCCCGTGGCCGATCCAACGGCGGTGCACCGCCGATTCTCCGGCGATCGCAAACATGGCTTGAGGGGGCGCAGATGAGCGACGGGTCAAACCCTCCTCCTCCTCCCCTCCTCCTCCTCCTCCTCCTCCTCCTCCTCCTCCTCCTCCTCCTCCCTTCAGGCGATCGCAAACATGGATTAAGGGGGCGTGTCCCGTTTCCATGGGACACCGCGGATTCCCGCCGCCGAGCGAGGCGGCACCGGCCGCATTCTGGGGAGGGCACCTCCCCCGATGCATGGATTTGGCGATCGCGCGCCAAATCCATGGATCGCTAATCCATGTTTGCGCGCCCCGGAGATTCCAGGTCGATGTTCCCAGACCCCGGATGTGATGTTTTTTTCACAACGTCGACCCCCAGAGGTCTCGACCCATTCCCCAGGACTAGCCCCCATCCTGAGCAGCTTTTTGACGGCCCTGGGGCCCCGCGAGGACCCCCAGAGGCTGAACAAAAAAAAAAAAGTCTCCCGCCGTGTTTCCTTGACACTGCGAAGGGGCCTGGGGCTCAAGCTGCAGGGGGTGGAGTTGATGTTTCTCTCAGCGGCGAGCCTGGGAGGGAAGTGAGACGGGTCGGGCCTTTCGCAGAAGGCTCCGAAGCACCCAGGCCTTCTGAGCAGTCTTCTGAGCCTTCCCCGAAGACGCCAAAGACTTTTCAGAAGGCCGGAGAGGGCTTCTGAGAAGCCCCGCCGACTTCTAAGAGGGCCTTCTCCTTCTCACTTCCACCCCTCGCTCGCCGCCGATTGAATGCCCTGATGCGCAACACGCAGCACGTAGCGTGCTGACACGGAGCTCAGCACGTAGGCTGAAGGCGAAGGGCTTCAGCGGTACGTACGCCAAAACGCGGACCAGCACGTGCCGAGCCAACACGCAGCGTGTTACACGCGGACATCTTGAACACGGTACGCGTTGCGTTTCAGCACGGGCGTATCAGGGCAGCTAAGCTTTGGAAAGACCACCGCAGGAAGGCGCCAGCCATGTGCCCCGCCGAAAACGGATGTTCGGGAGCAAATCATGGGAGCCTGGTGTAACCTCTCAATTTCGTCTTTAGCGTCGCCTCGCGTCTGGGAGTCGACGAGGTGGCGCCGATTTAGCGTCGGCGAGCGTCGATGATCGCCGATCTAGCGTCGATTAGCGTCGACCTAGCGTCGATTAGCGTCGATTCGCCAGAGACGACGAGATGGTATGGGAGGCTCCCATGAGCTGCCACCGGAGGATGGGGCTGATGTTTCTCTCACTGGGCTGATATCCCCCCCGCGTTGGCTCCCCAGGGCCTCCGCCGCTGGCGCCCGCGCGCCGCGGGAGGCCCGCGGGGGGGCGGGGCCCTGCGTCGCTGAGTGTCGCTCGGAGGGCCCGAGGATCCTGGCGTCGCACTTCGGGGGGCTCGTTTCGATGCCTCCGATTCGATGTGATGCGATTCCGATGGATTCCGATCCCGATTCGGTTCGACTCCGAAGCGATTCGGGCTCCGATCTCCCAATGGAGGCCCACTAGCCTGCCCATTTGCGCCGATTCGACTTCTCCTGACTCGGCTGCCGTTTTCTGCCGATCGATCGCCGATTCTGGGCTCTCCTGCAATTTGTTCGCAGAGGGCGGCTTTGCCTTGGAAGCTGCTGTTATTCTGGCCCAGGCAAGTTTACTTGCATGGCACTTCCCCTCCCCAGCCATCTCCGCCGCCTTTTCAAAACAGCGCTGATCCGATCGGCGTACAAGTGAGTCCCGACTTGCGCGACGCCCAGGTTTCCTTTCGTGCCTCGCGGCGCCCCGCCTTCATGCAAGTCAACTTGCCAGAATCTGAAGAAAAATTGCCTCTGGGCGATCTTGCTTTGTCCCAGGCCCTGGGATCAGCACAGATCGACACGGCTCGAAAGATGCCACAGGAAGATGGGGTCCGGGGTTCGGGTCGCGATTTGTTCGCGTCGTGAAGCAAAGATTCGGCATCGCTCGGACGTGTGCATTTTGTCCTCGACGAGGACCATTGAGGAGCATCCTGCATCATCTTGCAATAAGGAACACGCACGAAATCTGAAACATGCACGCGGAATGGACGCCCGAGCGATGGCAAGAGAAGGGCGGACGGTTTTGGGCTATCTGCGGCCTCTGGGGACCCTCGCCGTGCGCCAGGGCCGTTGGAGCACTGCTCGGGGTGAAAAGCTGGTCCTAGGGAATGGGGTCAAACAGTGTCCAGTATCGTCATCTTCCGCCAGTTAACGCGTTTGGCGTTGCTCGCACGCTCGCCAAGTGTCTTGCACACGCGCGTTTTGCGTATGGCTGCTTCGTTCGTTCGTTCGTTCGATGCCTGCGGAGAGCCCCGCGTTTCGATTTGGATCCCGATCTTCTCCACTCCACCCCGAACCGCCGATGATGTATCGGCGATGCATCGGCGATGCGGTGCGATCCTCCGGCCCCATCAACTCGGATTCCCGACATGATGTTTTTTTCACAACGTCGACCCCCAGAGGTCTCGACCTATTCCCTGGTACTGGGTTTCATCCTGAGTTTTTGGACGGACCTGGGGCCCAGCGAGGGCCCCCAGAAGCCGAAAACAACAAAATACCTTCCGTCGTGTTTTCCCAACCATCTTGTATTGCGGTGTTGGGTGATCGTTTTGAAGAGACAGCGCCCCGCGTTTCACCCCTCCTTCCGCTCCCTCCTGCTCCTCCTCCTCCTCCTCCTCCTCCTCCTCCTCCTCCTCCTCCTCCTCCCCCTCCTCCTCCTCTTCCTCCTCCTCCTCCTCCTCCTCCTGCGGCTGCCCACATGCGGCTGCCCACGGCATCGACGACCTGATAAGGAGCTCTAGTTGTAAGGATTGCGGGGGAAAGGTGCTCACACCTGTTGACACCCCTTGCCCTCACCCCCAGCACCCTCATCTTCGCCAACTGTGGTTGGCAGTGTACCCCTTCCTCCGATCCCTTCTCGGGGCTGAGCGAATCGCACAAGACTACATGGGACGCACCAGGGAGGAGGGTTGGGATTGGGCGCTTCGGGTGCCTACGACTGGGAATATGTATGGTTGCATATGCTGCCCCCGGGAGTGGCCCATATTCCTCCTGACCAGCTCCCAGTCATTACGTCAGGTGCCTGCTCAGGACCCTCTCCCAGCCAATCCCCAGGACTACCAGGATATCCACCACGACGCCCCCGGCGACCAGGAGGATACTGACGACCACGACGATGTCATCCACGACATCTTTGAGGACGACGACATGCACCACAGCATCCATCACCGCATCCTCGACGACCAAGAGGATACAGGCGCCCACAACATCCACTACGACATCCACGACGACCAGGCGCATGACGACGAGGACCAGCAGCAGCAGAACCTCAAGCCGCACGACGGCGAGTTGCATCTCGACACTGACATCCAGGCATGGGGCCTGCAGCACGGCGAGGGGCAGCTCGACGCAGCAGCCTACAGACGTGGCAGCATGCAGATCTTCGTGAAAACGCTCTCGGGGAAGACTACAAAGATTGATGTTGCGATTACGGCCACGATTGACGGCGTGAAGGCGGCAATCCAGGACAAGGAAGAAATACCTCCGGATCAACAGCGCCTGATTTACGCTGGAAAGTAACTGGAGGACAACCACAAGCTCTCGGACTACAACATTCAGACCGTGCGGGGCGCGGGCGCACAGCATATTTTGTTTCACGATCTCCATTGGGAAGTGCGCGGGAATCAACCTGTATACAAATACGTCCCGGCCGAGGGCCCTCGTGGTGGTGCCCCTTCGCGGCCCTGGCCGCGCGGTGCCGTCGCGTCCTCGGCGACGAGTGTTTGTGGCCCGATCAGCCGCATTCACATCAGCTACTTCTATATGTAGTCAGTCATGTTCTCGGTTTCTAGAGTTTCTTCGACGCATCCGATGCTGGGTCGCCCGGGAACGCGAATGAGGTTCTGCACACGCGCAGGGCTGACAGAGAGCGGGCCTTCTTCGGCATCACTTTGGAGACATCGTTTACTTGAGTACCGTATTGGTTGCGGATGCGCTGTGAATTGTCGCCTGACGGTATCGAGGAGGGCGGCATGCTCAAATTAGAACTCTTGAAGGCGCGGATGCAGCAACATTTGCTACATGCTCTTTGTCTGTCGGAGGTCAGGTTGGACATGAAGGGCACCCACAGGTACGAGGACGGTTTCACACTTATTGCTCAATCTTCCGGGTCGCAGGGCGGGGTCGCCATTCTGCTGTCGCCGGAGGCGTCGTCCGCCTGGGCGGCGGCCGGCTCGCAGTCTCATGGGCATGCCAGTGATCGTATTCTGCAGTGCTCGTTGCAGCTGGGTGGAAAGGAGGGCCGTTTCTCCATCTTCTCGGTGTACGGACCCACCTGCAAGGCCACCGACGAGGAGCTTGACGTGTTCTGGGAGGCGCTGCGGGCTGCGTGGCATCGATTTCGTCTTCGGTGACTTCAACAGCCGCGTCGGGAGCGCAGCGGGACCAGATGATGTCCTCGGCCTTCACGGTTTGGGCCGGTGCAATGCCAACGGCGAGCGCATGCTGAATTTCTGTCGGGCCCGAGGCATTCGGATCATGAGTACCTTTTTTCGCCATCCACGGTCGCGCAAGGCATCTTGGTATCATCCTCGATTTCGCACAGCAGGCCTGATCGATTTTGCATTGGTTCGGACGTGTGACGCCGACATCTTTACCAACGTGCGCACGTACCCGGGTGTAGAGGTTGAGTCAGACCACGCGCTTGGAGTGGCCACGTTGCGCCAGAAGCCGCGGCGGCACTTGACCCATTCTGGGGCTGCTCCTGTGCCCGAGGCGCCACGGCCTCTGCCTGTTCTGGAGGTGCGCAAGCTTGCGACAAGTGCCGGCGACGCTTTCCGAGCCGCGGCCGTGTCGGCACTTCAGTGTGCAGACCTCCAGCCCGGGCAGCTGGCCGCCACTCTGCGGCAGGTGGGGGTGGGCACTCTCGGGGAGCAGCCGAAGCGCCGGGTGCCTGACTGGCGGGTCGTGAACCGAGAGGCTTTGAAGGCGCTGGCCAAGGCGAGGCAGGAGGCTCACGCCCGCATGCGGCCCAGCGGCGATCCGAGGCACGCTCTAGCCTTCAAGCGCCTCTGCCTTGGCAACAGGGCCGCCGTGCGGAGGATGGTGAACGACTGGTGGGCTTCTATGGCGCAAGATGTGTCAGACGCAGCTGATCGTCATGACTACGCTGTCGTTTTCGCTGGCGTTCGCGACATGTCCAGGCAGCTGGGCGCTCTCCCTCGTGCTCCAGTGGCGCACCGTGTCAAAGGCGCGCTGCAGCATCTCGCAGACATGGCGTCGCATTTCGAGCATGTGCTGAACATACAGAGGCCCCTTCGCAGCGAGGCTGTGGAAGCCGGTCTCGCGCTGTTGCAGCCTTTGGACCAAGGCCGGGTTGATTTCTCTGCGCCTGGATATGATCGAGTGCTGAAAGCCATCAAGCAGCTGAAGGGGCGCAAGGCTGCTGGGCCGGACGGCGTCCCCGCGGAGCTCTACAAGCAGCCGGGCGTCATCGACGAGGTGGCTCGGATCTTGACCCCTCGGGTGCGGCGCTGGTGGACAGGAGACCTGACGGGCCGACCAGAGGACTGGAAGGACTCGCACATGGTGGCTTTGTACAAGGGCGCCGGGGACATCAGCGACCTGGACAACTGGCGCGGCATCTGTTTGCTGCAGATCCTTTACAAAGTCGTGGCCAAGCTGGTCTCGGACGTCTTGCGCTGCCTCGGGGAGCGCGTGCTCGACGAGGGTCAGATGGGCTTCCGGCCTCTCCGTGGATGCATGGACGCTATATTTGTCCTTCGGCGTGTCTTCGAGGAAGTCAGAGCGACGCACGCCCCTGCGGCCGGTGCAGACGAGGGCGTCTATGTTTTGTTTGTGGACCTACGAAAGGCTTTCGACTCTGTACCGCGCTCTGTGATATGGGACGTCCTGCGCAGGCACGGGGCCCCAGAGGCGCTGGTCGGCGTGGTAATTGATTTCCACAAGGGCATGGGCTCGAACGTCAAGCATCGCGGCGCCCTCAGCGACCGCTTCTGCATGCGAACGGGCGTGCGCCAGGGCGCCCTGGAGGCGCCTGCGCTGTGGGACTTGTACTATGACTGCGTGGTGAAAGATTGGCGCCGGCGCCTCGTGGGGGCGCTTGGTCACAAGGGGGGCTGCGCATTCATGTCCTCGCATGACTTGGACATCTCGCGCCCGCGGGGCAAGACCTTGCGAGCTGCGACCGCCTCGGCGCATCACATTTCTGACGTCGCTTATGCTGATGACCTGGTCACTCTTCACGCCTCGCTGCAGGAGCTACAGGTCGCCGCGCAGCTTCTCGCG